GAAAAATGTTATAACGCTTTCGTCCAACAGATGAAAATCTACTGCAGCACTTGGTGAAAAAATCTGAAGAGAATCGAACCCTACAGGGTAGTAGGTCGCCAACACTACTTACTCGACCACGCAGCCTCAGCCCTACACGTATGAGGTAGGTCAACAAATAGTTGCTCCATACTTTCTTCTATCTCTAGTCAACTTCCGGCTATCTCTAGTCAACTTCCGGCTATCTCTAGTCAACTTCCGGCTATCTCTAGTCAACTTCCGGCTATCTCTAGTCAACTTCCGGCTATGTCTAGTCAACTTCCGGCTATCTCTAGTCAACTTCCGGCTATCTCTAGTCAACTTCCGGCTATGTCTAGTCAACTTCCAGGTATCTCTAGTCAGAGGCGTCGCGAGGCAGTGGGCGGGGGTGTGAGGTGGGGGCGGGGGGTGCGGACCGCACCGTGGGACACCATTTTGGGGGAGTGACAACAAGACCAAAAAATGCAAGATATATAGAATAAGTGGGGTTTTTTTTTTGCACGTTCAATGTATGATAAATTAGAATTAAAAAGTATTTTAAGTACTAATTTGTAATCCCGACAAGGTGGGGGGGGGGGCACTATGAGGGCACTATGAGGTAAAACTATGAGGTAAACATGTAAACTATAGACAAAACAATGTTACGCCCAGCTGTATTAACAACCGATTATAGACTGACATTATTAGTATTAAATGTGAACATTTTAAAGCTGTATCCGAGGTGGGGGGGTTGAAAACAACTGTAAAATTTAGAGGGAAAAAAATAGAGGGGGTGGGGGGGGGGTTGACACCGTGAGGTACCGCACCACGTGACACCCGGCCTATCGACGCCACTGCCTCTAGTCAACTTCCAGCTATCTCAAGTCAACTTCCCGTTCTATCTAGTCAACATATGTATACTCCATTTTTCTTGCTTCCCCCCCCCCCTCCCCTCTCTGTGTATGAACTACAATTATACATTATTTTAAAGTAATTACCACGAAGACATTAAGTTATTTTTACGCTTATCTTTCTGTATTAGTATTGGATAAGCGTTTAATTACTCTTTCATAAGCAACAAAAAAATCCATCGGAATCATATGATCTAGATTACACACAAAATAAACATTAGCATTTTGCTCATCATTTTCATTCTTAAGAAATTTTAGGTTACATTTCTTACCCCCCCCCCCCCCCCCAATCTATTAAGTTAGCGGCCCATGTTACAACCATTCACTATTATAGAGATTGTATTTAAAGTATTAATTTAAATGGATGTATTAAATGTGTTCTTACTACTGCATAATATCACAAAATAAACACAATCATGTGTAAACAATGGCTAAACACACAACCAACATAGTTGCATAAACTCCACATTACCTGCCCTATACATAAATAAACATTGTATAGTGACTAAGGCCTGTGTCGTGTCGTCACATTTGACCTCTGGTATTTGAATGTCTAGTTATAAAATCAATGCACGTATAGATTCGCTAAACCACGCCATAAGCCTTTGATATCGGCCGCAGACATTTGCGTGATAACTAAGTCGGAGTTAGCTCCCATCTAATGTACACCAGAGTTACCTGAAAACATTACAAACAAACGCTGCACATTCGTCGTATCTATTTCTCATCATATTATTTTACAGTAATGTAAAATACATTTTAGTAGTGATAATAGTTTACTTTTTTTATAAAAATATATAAACTATTAATTAAAGAAAGCTAGAAATAAAAAATGCGTTGAAACTGAGATTATAAAAATAATAAAATATCAAAGTACTAATTTTCTTTTATTTAAATTTTAACATATTTTAATTATTAATTCTATTATAATATTTAAAGCGATTCTTTGTTTATTTAAGTTTAATTAACGTAAATAAAATACATCGTTAACACAGCGTTTTGTTTATTTCACGCCATACATTAGTCGCGAGTGACGTACACGATTCATTGTTTAGTTAAGATAATGCAAATAAAAAAAATACAACTAAAAATACTAGGCCCTATTAAAGCCCATGGGATGCATCACTCAACCAACGGTAGAGTAGAAGATCGATTCTTCGATTAGTACAGAACTTAGAAACGCCAGCAGTAAATGGAACTAATGCGTTTTCCAACAGCTCCGCCGCGGTCCAAGTTTATCCAGAAAATAATCCACGTCTATATTTAGCTGTTTGAGAGCTGAGTTTAGATGACGCTGACGGGATTTATTATAGTGATTATTCAATTTTTTTTTACTAAGTTAATTTAATTATTTTTTATAAATAATTATACCTGATGCATTACTTAAAGTGTAAATATTCTATTGTGAAATTTTCTTCATAACGTTGGAGTTTTCTGACTAAACTAAATAATTCTGTTGCATACGTTGTTCAAAATGTTAGTAGAAATAGGAATAATTTATTTATATAAATCATCGGATAGCAAAACTCTACAGCCTAGCTGAAAAGTTAATGGACACCATGATGTAGCTTGACTTAGGCAAAAAAACACACTCGATGCTTAATGTATTCGTGCAGTTTTACATGTAAAGAGGACTGTTAGAATTGAAACGTGTTTATAGTGTTTACGAATCCAGTGCTTTTCGTCACGATAAGTTTTGAACCAGCATAATCGAGTACACTTTTGGGAAAAAGGAATCGACTTCACCATCTAAAGACAATGAACAAGGTAAGAATTTTTTTTTTTTTTACTTAATGAATTAGCTAATAACAACTATTGTTTCATATGGAAAACTTTTTTTTTATAATGTAATAGTTTTAAGCATATTCAGACAGTAATACATTGAAGCATATTTCATGATGTAATACTTTTAAGAATATACTAAGAAGCATGTTTCTGAGTATGATACTTTGAAGCATATTTCAGACCAAATTATTGAAGTATTTTTCAGAAAGTAATAATTAAAATCCTGGGTACTGTGGTACTTCATTATTTTCCATGTTGCCAGATAAAATATGTTTGTTGGTAATGATAAAGCCTACGTAACTCTATTTCCTACTAAAGAGTAAAAGCATTGTGTTAGATAAATGCATGTTGGAGTAAAATCCTTCGATAAAAACATGGACATATAACGCAGCTTCGATATGGTTGTATGATCTGTGGTACAGGTATGCTATGATCTGTATTACAGGAGCTGGAAATAACCTGAAGCTGTAAACATTTCTACTGCTTCAAACAGCCGTAAATTTTAAAGTTAAAAATAGAGTCAAAACGTGAATAAAGTACAGCCCACGAGCCGGCTTACACTCTAATATAACCACATACGGCTAGGCTTGCTGGTTTGTTTAGAAAAAAACACGATCAGACCAGAACTGCACTTGAAGCTGTAACTGGATAGGTTTGAACAAAGAGAGCTAATTCTCGAGTCAGTGACGGCTTGTTGACCGTCATTGATTGGTAATTATCGGTGATGGATCGGTCACGTGGGATGAGGGTTAGAGGTGAGATCACGGGGGGGGTGGGGGGGGGAGGGACGATAACTAGAGTGTGTGGTATGTTTGGTGTAGAGTATATGCAGTGTGAGAAGTTTTATTAACAATCATCATCACTGACTGTCACCCAAAGACCTGAGTCCTCTGTCCTGCTGGGGTATGGGCCGCCAACCAAAGATCTCCAGAGTCCTCTGTCCTGCTGGGGTATGGGTCGTCAACCAAAGATCTCCAGAGTCCTCTGTCCTGCTGGGGTATGGGTCGTCAACCAAAGATCTCCAGAGTCCTCTGTCCTACTGGGGTATAGGCCGTCAACCAAAGATCTCCAGAGTCCTCTGTCCTGCTGGGGTATAGGCCGCCAACCAAAGATCTCCAGAGTCCTCTTATCTTTCTGTTTTCTTCAGCAGCTGAAAGCTGTCCAGTCGTTTCCGATAGTTTCATGAACAATATGCCCTAACAAATATGACAATATCATAAATAATGCCTTAAACTACTCATGAAAAATATGTTACAAAGAGTATGCCTAACAAAAACGTTAAATTACTCACAAAATAACCATTTTTATCAAATTATTATAAATTAACTTTTGAATGACGACCTACTGTGAGGCTAGTTATTACCAATTATCTGTTTATAGCCCATTTAATGAGCTCATGAGAACAAAACACAATTAAATAACTCTCTGAATTTAAGGGAGAAAAAGTAGGACATTAATTTTTTTTTCAAATTATTGCTGAAGCAATCATTTCAAGTTAGCAATCAGATCAAGTTAAATATAAAGATAAAAAAACTAAATATAGTTTGTGCAAGCCACATCTATAATAGTTAAAAGATGGTTATTTTCGCCTAAATTTTCAAAGCCTTAATTGTCATTGTTTAAAACAATCAGTGACGTCATGTAGAAGTTGCGATGGTTGTTAGCCCACCATCCGATGTTGCTAACTTCTATACGGCTCGCTAGATGAGTTTTGTTAATTTATCGATTGCAGCTTCAAAGTATTGTTTTTCAAGGGACTTAAATCAAGTAACACGCACTAGAATATATTGATATTTCGTGGTTATGTTTTTAGTTTAAGATTGATTTTTTTTTCGGAATCCCTTTCAAAGCAGTGTTTACAGTATTGATTTTATGCTGATTTATACCGATCTCTAATCGATGATTGAGAGAGGTAGAGAAAAAAAAATAAACGATAAAAAAATTCTAATTATATTGAATTATAGTGAATTTTTTCGAGAAAAAGTTTTAATTGGTTGTTTAATTAAGAAACTGTACAAACTCCACGCGTGGTGATCATTAAACAAATCACGCGTGACGCACCGTATGCAAGAAACAGCAGTCAACATCATTTATAAATGAAGATAATTGACACGCCGCTAATGAACTTGGTATGGAAGTTTTGTCCGAGTTAGCGCAAATGGGAATCGAGATTCATGGAGTATTTATTACAAAACAAACAATCTTACAATACTCTATACGTGCAACCCTCCTGAAGTATTCGTTTTGCACCCCCCCCCCCCCCCGTCAAACTTTCGATTTGCACCCCCCTCAAGTTTTCGATTTGCACCCACCCCCCCTCAAGTTTTCGATTTGCACCGCCCCCCCCCCCCCTTAAACTTTCGATTTGCAACCCCCTCAAGTTTTTCTCTATATATTTTGCTATTTTTTGCCTTGATGTCACCCCCCCCCTAAATGGTGTCACCCGGTGCGA